CACATCCACAAACATTTAATGGGTTTCGACCGCTTTCCCTTAAAAGCGTTTGACTTCATTACAAAAATGCCACTGGCGTAGATATGAGCAAAAAAAAAATCTGCGGTCTTTTTTTCCTTGTCCACTTACACAGGAGTCTTTCTTTTGTGTTTTAGACCTACAGTATTAGGTACTCTAATGGAATAATCAACTAATCTCATAATCTCAGAGCAGCATTTTAATGCATTTCTTCAATATTTCTTTTGCTTAGTAACTACTCTTCTTATTTTATTCTGTTGATATGCTGATTGGTCTATTATGCCACTCCATCCATAAACGTTTTACCTATTACACTTCTCACAAACAGTAACTGTCACCAAAAAATGTCAGTCTTACTCCAATTACATACTTAAATATACAAGTGATTTACTTTTCCCTCTTGTATTGATTGATAATGATTCAATAACCATCTTTGCACTTATAGATCCTATTGTCCATATTATACTTGATGGGTGATTTTATATTTTTAGACATACATTACAAGGCTAAGAAATGCAGTTGTCTGTACATACCTAATATTAATGCACAAAACTTTCCCATACACAAACATGCTACGAAGTTTGTTTTTTTGGTTCAACCTTTCCTTAGGAGGATTTCCTTACAAATTGAAACAAGAAACTGGAAGCTCAAAAATAAACTATTCAGTGTTCGGGCTGATGTGTTTTCCACTGATGCTGTATGGCATGTATACTGTAAAGACTTCTTTATGTTCGTTCTACAATTGGCCTGGCCTAGAACCCCAAAGATACAGTTGTTTAATTGTACAGATGAGTACTTCTCTAATTTATATCCATAGATTTTTTAAATTAAAACAAACAAAGTATTTACTGGATAGCACATTTAAAAATCTCCCCGAAAAGCATAGCTTTTTTGTAAGTTTTACTAATTTGGCTGTGTTTAACCTTTTTTTGAGTTGTTGCTCTGTTACAGTAGTGTATACACTATTTGGGCGTCCATTTGCGCTTATATCTGTAACAATTCAAATGTTAGGTTACTATCCAGGAAAATCAAAACCATTTTGTATAACATCTCAACTAAACTATTTTATGAGTTCAGTGGGTGAATCAGTGGGTAAAATAAATGATTCCTTAGAAACTTGTCCACTTCAAGAAGAAAGGATGAAACGGTTGAAAAATCTGAATGAAGAATACAACAAAGTTTTTTGGGACAGTATTAACCTGTACGCTTTAGATTTGTGTTTGACTGTCGCACTTTTAGGAGTTGACTTTTACGTTAGAGTTAATGACTTCTATGTGTTGACGCTACAGTTTTTTTCTCCCTTATCTAGTTTTCCTAACTTAAACGCCTATATTGCTTCCATGATATTCTTCACTTCATATATACTTATAAACAACGGACACATGTTTTGGCTTAGTGAAATAATTGCAAACTTGAACAAAATGGTAAGTTCATTTTTTCTTACACAAAGCTGCTGTTACAAAAATAGTTGCAATAAAAAACGTCATTTTCAATGTTAGCTTAAGACTCTTTCTATGAGTATCTACTATTTTTTAATGCTTTTTTACTGACTCAACAGACAAAAAACACTCCCTCAAGTACTTAAATAAGGGTAATATCGTATAACTAACAGACTAATTTTTACACGACTAAACCATTTTTAAGGAAAAGTCAAATATTCTAAACTAATTGTTCTAAAAAAAAATTCCTTTTTGCGTGCACCCTGTCAGCAGTTGACTGTCGAGTTACACAGACTCTTGAGTTACCGGAAGTCGAGATAGTGAGCTTTTACTGTACTATAATTGTTTAAATAAAAACCTGGTGACTACCTGGTTTTTACAATTATAGTACAATCTGATGGTGACTACCAGATAGAAATGGGACAAGAGAGAAAAGATGAGACAAAACATTATTTTTCAACGGCAAACTTAAAACCTCGATTCTTTACCCTTCAAGGTGGCTTGACGAGTGTAGCTGGTCATAGTATTTTGTAGCGAAGTAACCTTACTAACCCACTAACCTCATCAACCATACTAACCCACTGGCACTCAAGAAGTTCTTTAAATCTGACCTACTGCCGCTAGAGTTTTAGGTGCACTCATACAGTAGTTATAGTAGCACTCATCCCGGTTCGTAAATTACAAGGCAAAAATGTGGTTTGGATTCCACTATCAACTGTAGGTCCATTAGTTTCCATTGGCTGTATGGGCTATTAAACAGTCCTGTCTAAAGTACTAACAAGACTACAAGATCACGTCTATCATCCTACTCAATTAATATTTTGCTTGATACCTACCTTCGAATGGTCACCAATTTCAAGTATTATTAAAAAAATATTCAAATCCCATATGTATGCAAAAGAAGCTTACCAACGTGTGACTTAGTTGGTGGGAGGTTATAAACTGTTTCCGGTTTTTTTTTTGTTTTGCTTTTTTTACACTAGTTTAGAGGAAGAGGATAGAGATTTTTGTGACTTGCTTTTATTTTGGTTAAATATAGACATTGAGTTGAATTCAAAATGTCATAAAAATACCTACATAAAATGATATTGCAAACAAAAATACATCAAAAAAGTAATTCTTAGAAAAAATCCTGAGTCAAGAAGTTAAAGTTAGTTACCCTCTATGGTTTTGCAGCTCACTTATATAGCATGCAAATAATAATTTAACTTTAATTATAGCTCCTACCTAAAACTTTTGCAAATACCCACAATTTATAAATTATGATTTTGCTTACATAATTGCACATAAATATTCTCCGAGTGTCGAACAGTTGATCAATAAAATGATCAAATACTAATTCTATATAAAAGTGCCATTAAGAAAGCATGTAATTTAGTGAAACTCTAACTTTCAGGACAGGAGCAGTTTATCCTTAATTTGTCTCGTTACTCATTATTTATTTCTGCTAACAATGTGAAAATGATTGCTAGTCTTTCAAGCTAGCGTACTCAAAACTGTTACTAAAGTTAAAGTAGTATGTGGTTTAAGTTGTTTTTCTGGTTTAATTGTTTGTTTGGAGGGTTTCCTTTTAACGTGAAGAAAGAAAATAACACTTTAAAACTTAAGTATTCATCCTTAGGATTCATATTTTTTGTAGGAACAGTTTGGAGTGCATATGCCAATTTTAAATATTTGTGTATTTACTTCTCTTTTCCCGGCACTGAACCCGAATTTTATAACTGTGTCCTCGGGCAAATCATTATATCAGTGGTATTTTTTCTTAGATTCTGAAAAAGTCAAAAGGACTAAAATATTATTTTCTCATACCATGAAAAATCTCAGTGAAAATGACAAATTCTTTGTGACTTTTGGAAAGTTTATTTTGCTCAACATGGTTTTAAGTGTCTTCCAAATTATTTTGATGTATTTAATATTTAGTGATGGTGCACCTTCATCAAAACTGCATTTCTTCCTGACACAAATATTAGGATACTACCCAGGAAAGGCTAAACCATTTTGTGTCGTGTCTCAATTGATCTTTACTTGCAATTCGTCATTGAGGATCTTATATAATGTAAACAATTCTCTTTCAACATCTCAAATCATATCCAGAGAGTTAAGACAGTACAAAATACAATTGGTAGAAGTCACAACAGTTTTTAAAAAGTGTGTCAGTTTATATTCAACAGATTTGTTTTTAATTCTTGTTTATATGGGGGCTGATTTTTATGTAAGAGTTAATGACTTTTACATGCTTACTGTATGGGTGTTTGATTATTTTTCTGTAAACATATATATTGGTATAGTTGTTTACTACATTATGTATATAATTCTCAGTAACACATACTTGCTTTGGCTTTGTGGAATAACAGCCGACTTAAAGGAAACGGTAAGTTTTTAATACATTATTTTTTAATGTACTCGGATTTTATAGTTAAGTGATTTTTATGTGTAAGTAAAATGTTGAATTCAGTAGTAACTATCACTCACCGTAAATTTTGTTACCACCTTGAAACCCGTTTCAAATATCAACATGTTATTTTCTTGGCCACCAAAAAAAAAAAACATTACACACATTAACAATTCAAAACATGTTAATTTACAAGAAAAGGTTTTGTAAATACTCTTGATTAAAGATTTATTTTACAGGTAAAGAAAACAAGGACCATTCTATTACATGCAGACTTAAGTAAATTGCAAGACAGCGCAAAAGATGAGGTGCGATAATTTATTTTTATTCATAAGCCAATAAGGTTAATTTTTTAGTAAGTTTTATTTACTGCAATGTCGTTAAACATGGGTGCATGTTATAAGTTTTTGCAAAGATGAGCTTTGACTTTGCTCACCTGTTTCTTTTACTAGGATCTTTAAATTAGTTTTGGACAACCAGCAGGTCTCATTGGCTTCCAGAAACTAAAGACACACACACACACACTTGTAGAAAGAAAAAAGTCATATTGATGAGGACAGATACCTATAGCACTTGGTGTTTTCAGAGGTGGATTTTGAGAAATAAATTATACTTTGCTCAAAATGATCAGATTGTGCATAAGGATGTATATTGTCCAACCGTTTAAAATGATTGTACTCTTAAATTGAAATATTTTTTTTTTAAGTTTATGGCATAATATGCTTGTTTATCTATTTCAATTTCCTTTATGTTATGATTTCTTTTTTTTTCTTTCATTTAACAAAGTAATATTCATGAAGAAGGAATGGATATACAATTAACTTGCCTAAGAAAAAATTTCAGAGGTAGTTTCGCCTTTAAAGGGGCCTTCAGAAGAATGAAGTTGAATGGTAACCACAAAACTCACCAACAAACACAAAAAATAGTGTCAGTTTTCTTTACAGAACTTCTTTCTTCTGAAGAAGCTCCTTGTAGGTTTGAAATATCAAGTTTATTGCGTTTTAAACTTTTCTGTGTACTTTTACATGCCTCAAACTCTTTTTTAGGTAAGTAGGTTGCGTATCCATTCCTACTTATCTGATGCCAAGTGCTTAAAGTACCGGTACTTAAAGCCAAGTGCTTAAAAAAAAAAATAGTTATTTATTGTTTTAGCTAATTCTCTTCTTGGAACAACTAGACCAAACTAAACTTGTCGTTGATGCCTTTGGCTTCTTTAATGTTGGACGAAAACTTCTATTTAAGGTAAATGGTATTTCCAAATTATGTTCAGTACATTATATTTTTTAAGATAAAATTTTGAGAACAAAACTAGAAAAATTATGCTGCATCACACAACTTACACTTATATAGGCACATGCCAACCCAAATATTAATTGAAAAAAATCATATATCTTTGTTAAGGGTTGATTGCACAGGGCAATTTTTCAAGCGAGATACAAATCCAGCTGTTTACCGATTCCTCCAAAATCATGAAGACAAATATTTCTTGTTGCTTGTGCAAATGCCACTGTGGGCACACGAGGAAAGTAAAAAACTTGGTAAGTGGCAAGTAAAGATGAGGAAATGGTTAACTTTTTCCATAGCATCAATCAAGCAAGTGTGGCTAGTACACTGGGCAGTTTACAAGCTGCATGTAAAAAGTCCCTTTTTGACTCTCACTGTGTAATCGAGCCTTAAAATCAGTAGAGTGGACGAGAAAGTATCACTAGAAACTCTACTCTACGTATGTGAACCAGGCTTTACTCACTAAGATTAGTTGTTGATTTAGTCAGAACCATTTCACAGACCAATTGTTTAATAACAGTTTTTCCAGTTTTTAATTTCCATAAAAGCTACAGACTTTTTCTCATGATCGAACTGGCAACACTTAACCACTCAGCTACCCAGATATGTGGTTGATAAAACGATTTGTTTACAGGTTGCATTTAAAATGCTCTAACAAATGTAAAATATTTCAAACTATAATTTTATTTACAGGGATTCTGCCAAGTAACTACATTTGTTGTTCTCTTCATTCAGCTGAACAAAATTCGAAATGCTTAACAACTTGGATCCAATCCCTTCATTGTACATTGAATTGGGTAAACAATTGAGTATGTATTATATTATATCTATAGTTTGTAAAATTACTAACAAAATAAAAATGAATTTTAGTATTTTACCTCGCTGTTGTGATCACATTTAACTAAAACTACCTCATGGTCATTGGTATCATAAGGTTTTTGGTGTTTGGAATCTGTTAATACACAGATAGTTCTCGAAAGAGCGACCATCCATTTTTTCTTGTACAGACAGACCTACTGCTGAACGTCTGAGCCATACCATTAAACCATTTGTGCCTTTCTTTTTGAATAGGAAGATCACCTAAAGGATGACAAAAAACATGAATATTTATCCTGTAGAGTTTATTGGTAAACAAAATACAGATTTTTGCTCTGACAACACCAGCCTAATCTAATATTTGAAGCCTAAAAATAGAAGAAGACACTTAGGTTCTGTCCATTGATCGTCATTAACTTGATCAAACTCCATTTTGTTTTTGGTATTAAGTAGCTTCCCAAGAAGTACCCCAAAATCTGGATCTTAATAGCTCAGTTTTACAATCAATTTAAACTATTCCATTTTCATAATCAATGTAACAGTGTTTTCAACATTAATAAACTTTATATAACAACAGTAAACCTTCATTACTCCAGATCATCACATTAATATAAGATTTGTTTGATAAAAACTGTCAGCTAAAAAAAAATCATAAAACCACTGAAACGTTTTTTAATGCATTTTACATTTGCAATACCGGTAGTTTACTTAAAAAATCAAAATACACTATTCAAGCTTTTTCTGTAAATGGTATTACTTCAATACGCAAGGGGTACCGGTACCAAAACAATCATCAAATATCACTGCCCTTTTCTTCTTATTAAGTTGTTTTTTATTACCCCAGGTGATCTCCAATTAGTGTGGATAAATGAGGGTTTACTTTATGAACTAATATTAAAATATAAAATTACTGATATTTTTCTGCGCTTGTGAAACATTAAATATTTCATGGAATTGCACAACAAACAATTAGGTAATGTTTAATCTGAAATGAAACAATAATAAAACTCAAGTAAAAGTATTGGTAACTATTTCATTACAATAGATTCAACAAATACATTTTTAAAAGGGATGTTTGACACAAGTGGTCAAGTGGTGAATTTATTTGTGGAAGTAGTGTTTTCTTTAACTCTCAAAGAACATAAATATTTTGGATCTGGAAATAAAAAAAAAAACTACACCAGTGATGAACATGAATGAACAAGAGCAAGTGAATTATTATAATTAAAATAAGCCTTAGAGTTAAAATAATTCATGTGGATGATGAAAATTGCGGAAAATAAATTTATTGCATTTATGCAGCAATATCCATAACCATCAATTATTTTATTCCATTCTTACATATAATAATCATAATCACAATCCAGATCAGCAATTTTCCAAATACTTTTTTTTAATCCTGCAGATAATTTAGGTATTTAAATACATGAGTATGGCTAACATTGTTTGATGTTCGTTTAGCTAGGGAAGGTGAATGATGGTATTTTAGTGTGGAAAAGGAGGGGATATTTAATTTGGTAATGTGGCAACACTGAGCTCAGGGAAGATAAATTATAAGAGTTGGTATTAGTGTTTTCACTGTGGAAGGAGAGATGATTATTTTATTTAGGGGTTGTGGTACTTTAATAACTTACTGAGAACAAGGAGAAGGTGTGGATAAGGGTTTATATCAGTGTTTTACCGTAGGAATGACGAGGGGTAGGCATTACTATAAATAATTATTTTAAATATTGAAACAGAAAGGGTTATTTTAATTAGTTCAGTTGGAACACTGAATTAAAGTGATATAATGTATGTCAGTGTTATTCTGTAGGAGAGGAGAAGGTTATATTTTGTTGAAATAGTGGCAACACTGACCCGAGGGAAGATTATTGGGCAAAGTTAAAGTTTTATATCAGTGTTTTACTGTTGTCGTGGAGAGACATCTTTTATTCAGCATTTGTGACAACACTGAGGAAGATTCAAGATTTAGTAGGCATTGCTGTAATTTTTTCTTTCACTGTGGAAGCAAAAAGTGTTATTTTACTTAGGAATGGTGACAACACTGAGCTCAGGGAAGATGAGTGGGTAAGGGTTAACATCGGTGTTCTCACTATGGGAAGGAAGGGGTGTCGGAGGTCGAGGGTCTGGCTCTGTACAGCCTATGAGCCAGTAGGTCACCATCCGACCTTTGCCCTTTAGTTCCACCTCGCCTCGCAGCTCTAGCTGGAAAGTCCCGAACTTGTCCAAGATTTCCTTGGTCGCCTCGCTTACATGGATTCTCAGTGCTGAAACAGATAGTAAACAAGGGAGGTATGTAGTAGATCGAAAAAAATGAACCTATAGTATACATAAATAGCATAATTTCAATTTGAGTCATTGATCTTTTTCTGCAATAGATATATTTTCTGTAGCTGTTGGTCTTATTTTGTACTAGAGACATGTTCTGTAGCCGTTGGTCTAAACCAGAGAGATTTTCTGCAATTTTAAGTTATCCAACTAAAGAAAAGGTACTGTAGCCCAAAGTATTTTTGTAAGATGGAAATAATCGTATTCATGGTTCACCAAATTAAAAACTTGAACCTTAAAATACCTTTTTTATGTCATTATCTTACTCTATAAACAGGGTACATAAATCTATACTTGTTCAATGTGAACAAATTCAATCAAATCCGTATATTTTGGCAATACAGTCATAAACAACTTCCTAACCACCATTGGGCCTAAGACATCTTTAGTCCCAACTGAAACCTTCCTTGTTCAAACATTCTCTTAGTGAAATGAAATATTGTAATTATTCTGTTTTGTTTTTGTTCTGCTTATACCAGGATAAACTCTTTCCCATTCAGGGTAATTTGCTTTCTGAACAGTTATTAAAACCTTTTCGGATCATTTGTTCCTTATTTTATTGGATATATAGTTGATACTCACGATGCCCAGAAGATTCCATCCGAGATGCAGTGTTGACAGTGTCTCCAAAAAGACAGTAATGAGGCATCTTCTGGCCAACAACACCGGCACATACTGGCCCTGCAATAGGAGGTATTATATGTTTACAAGGTAGTGTTACTCTATGAACTCTGAGTCTAGGAACTGAGTAAACCTGTTAAAGAAATGATTGTGGTAGACCTCGTCTCATTCCACCTTGTCTCGCGGGATTCCGACAAACAAACAGTCTCTTATTTGTGGACTCAACTCGGAAGGAAATAAAAAAACATTTCTCCAGGTTCAAGAACAGCAAGCAATCCTTCGAGCACATACTTTGATGGAAGACTGCACAAAAGAAAAGGATCTTACACTAATTATTCTAGTTGGCTTTTTTGGTGAGTTGCTAGAGATAGTTCAAGTTGTAAAAAAAAAAAAAAACGATTATAGTGTACTTTCTAGAATATGTTTCTTTGTTTCAAACAATTTAAAAAATTTAAATCATAAAAATCCTCCCTTTAAAGTAAACTAATATAACGTTTAGTATTGAGATCCAGCTTTGCTCATAACATGAAGACTGAGCCTTAAACATACAAGATATTCCAAGACCCTTAAAAGTACACACAGAAATAAACAGAATAGAACTTTACTGATGTATGAGATGGAGGGGAAAACGGTACTGTGACAGCAGGTGATAATATAAGCAAGGTGTACAAGATAGCAAGAGAGAAACTGTAACTCAATGGTCTTTAGTATTAATACCATGCATACCGTTGTTCTTCATAGTCACCCTTCGACCCTTCACTCTCTGTACTCAAATATTTTCTCAAAAGTTACTTATGTGGAACCAGTGACGGATCTAGTGGGGGGGGGGGGGGGCGAAGGGGGTGATCCCCCCCCCTTAGACATACATATACATATATTTTTTACTGCATGTAATACAGTAGTGCATACAAATTGCATAAAATAATTTGTCACACTAACTTAGGACAAAGAAATCATATAAAACTGTCATTTAGAAGACTTAGTTTACATCAATTTTTCAAGGGGGTTCCCCCAAACCCCCTAGGTGCCCTGGCGCCCAGGCCCCCCCCCTTGTGGCTGTTCTAGATCCGCCACAGTGTGGAACACTACATTGCCAATTGGATCTTTCCTTACCTGAATGTATTCCTATCCTCACTTTAAGCTGAGAGTCAGGCCGATGTTGTATGCTGAAGGAGTGTAGAGCGTCTAAAATAGAGAGAGCCATCAGGGATATTTCTCTGGCGTGGTTGTCCCCGTTACGTTCTGGCAACCCTGACACAACCATGTATGCATCCCCTATCGTCTCCACCTAAAACCAAAATATATTAAATCTTGTTTATATTTTTTTCTGCCAAGTTTCTTGGTGACATTTGATTATGTACTAGTAGCGTTGTACCTCAGTAAATTGTAGCTTGGAATAGGGGGACTGGGAAAATATGCACAAATGTATTTATAGTTTTTGCAGAATAATCTGAAGTCTTTATTTTTTCTGCTTATTATTTTTTTCTACACTTTTAATTTGAAGCAACCATGCAAATTTTCAGTAAATTATAACATAAAGTGAAATACAAACAAATAAAATATAATGTCATCCCTTACCTTGTAAACATCATAAAATCCTATTGCTCTATCAAACGTACTGTAAAGGTCATTCAACAGATTCACCACCTGCAAACATATTTTAAGTTCATTATTTAATTCGTTGGTGTTTTTTTAAGAAGGTATAATATATATAAATAATATATATGAGGTAAAATATATATATATATAGTGACATACAACAGGGTAAAGGAAAAATGTGAGTATTTCATATTGACTTCTTTAGAAACTCATAACCATACATTACTAAGTCAGTTTAGTTGCGAAACCAGACAAAAAGATACCTACTAAAATTTTCACATTTGTAAACTCCCTCACAAATCAGATCCATCAATCTGCAGGAAAACAATTCCTCACAATTTAATTCTAAAATAAACATTAAAGTATATTCAAAGTTTTACCTGCATTGGTGTGCTTTGAGCACAGAGTGCAGTGAACCCAACAATATCACTAAAGTATACGGTAACACATTCAAACTGTTCTGGCTGAACCATCTCCCCGGCCATCAGCTGTTGAGCGACAGGCCTAAACAGAAAAGGAAGTAACTCAAGCATCGTTATCATTACATCGAGATGTAAACCTGATGTTGCATATTTTAATCTTATTATGAGTGTACGATGAAGTTCATTGCCTTGTACGCTTTGTTACTGACTAAGAACAGATGTTTATTTTGACCATTTAATATTCTAAAGCCGGATGAGTAAGGACAGCTCAGCTGGGTCCAGCTTAGAACCATCAAAATGCTACTGACTTTTAACAAATCTAATTGTCAACCTTCTGATTGCCAAGCAAACACCTTTTTGTACTCAGATACCCAGTTAGGTACTTCAGTAGTAGCCTGAAGACATCTCATTGTCACAAGATACATTTTAAGATCTACCATGAATACTAAATATTGAATTGTTTTCATATTGTCAAATAATCAACCATCAACAAATATCTGGTGTGTTCTATACTGTGATTGAGTGATAAAGTTCTAAAATAAATGGAACTGGAAAGCCAAGATACTGATGGATACGGAGACCTGTTGAATGGCTGCATAGGTATGGAAAGGTAACTAAAAGAAAAACTTAGCAGAAAATGCTTTGCAGTGGGAGGACTACTGGTGCTTCCTAGATTGCAATGGACTGACGAAGCCAAAAACTCTCTTATACATTTCATGGACCACAAGGATAATTATTGGAAGAAATATAGTGCTGTTAAAATATAGAACATATCAAGCATCTTAAGTAGAACTATTAATTAATTACCTGGGTAAAACTTGAAACAGAAGCTCCTCTGACCTTCTTTTCTCCTGACTTAGCTGGTCAGTTTTTTCTTCAACCAGAGCTTCTAAGTTATTAGCATACTGTTCCATCCTTCTTAGCAAATCATCCATAAGGTTCTCACAATAGCCTCTGTAAAAGGAAATAGCAAGTCATATTTACAGTTTTTGAGATTTTACAGTAGAGTAACTTTAGAACCACGAGAATCAATCAACATTGGAAGATATTCTTTTTTTTATAATTTCATTTTATTTTTGTAATACTGCAAATCGTTTGAAATTGTTGTTTGGATTACTAAAGGCTGCTGGCTGATATGTGTGGTTTTATACTTATTTTATAATATTAAAAAAAGAGAACTCTATTAGTTGTTGATGCATAGCAGGAAACTAGGGAAGACTATAAAGAAATAGGCATCTACATAGACCGTTGTAGCCAATAAAAAAATGTGTATTTACTTTTTAATTGGTTTTGATAAATATGATGCAATAGTTTACAATAAACTGACTTTTCAGTTTAGTTGTTTGGAAATTTTGTTGCACAGTCAAAATTCAAATCTCAATATCATAATGCCAACAAACATTGCTTTTGGAAACTGTGTTGCAAAGTACAAAGTGTTTTTCATAACATTTTCCAAGGACTACAATTTACTTCATGATTTTGCGAATGATACCCCTGATGATCTCAAAGGTAGGTCGCTCGTCAGGATTGTCTGCCCAGCATCTCTCCATCAACTCCAGCAGATCATCTGGGCAATCTCGGTTGCTAATGTCTGGACGGAATGGAGGTGCCGCAAAGGACTCTACTTGCTGAAGAATCTCTGCAAGTACAGTAAACCGAGAGTGTTTTAGTTTTTATTACTGCTTAATTTGGACACAAACGATTTTTTGAAGGTTGTATTATTTACAAAATATAATTGAAGTATTTTCATTACCAATAGGCTACTATGTGACAGCAACGACAAAGGAATTTTACTTTAGCCAGGGCCATTGGACCAATGATCGGGACAGCTGGTCAGTTTTTTCTTCTACCAGAGCTTCTAAGTTATTTGCATACTCTGTTCCATCCTTCTTAGCAAATCATCCATAAGGTTCTCACAATAGCCTCTGTAAAAGCAAATATAGCAAGTCATATTTACAGTTTTTGAGATTTTACAGTAGAGTAACCGAGTTTGTTTTAGTTTTTATTACTGCCTAATTTGGACACAAACGATTTTTTGAAGGTTGTATTATTTACAAAATATAATTGAAGTATTTTCATTACCAATACTATGTGACAGCAACGACAAAGGAATTTCTTTAGCCAGGATCATTCGATCAATGATCGGGGACAGCTGGGTGCAATTTGGAAATATCAAAATGTTTCTGACTATTCTTAGGACCAAACAACTGCTCTTTTGACTACCAGATCAAACCAATCGCTACAGAACTCCTTTGGTCTACCTTGGACAGTTAATGTCTGACGAGCTATTTCATAAGGTCCTCCTCGGACGACAATCTCTTCCAGGATGATGGAGAAGCTGTAGACGTCTCCCTTCTGTGTGGCAGGAGTTCCTGGAACTGTAGTCTCCTTCAGAAGCTCCGGTGCTATCCACAACAGCTCTAGGGGAACATTGAGTCATGAGAAACATTAATTGAGTCATGTAGGTAAACATTGAATCATGAGAAACATTGAGTCATGAGAAACATTGAATCATGAGAAACATTGAGTCATGAGAAACATTGAATCATGAGAAACATTGAGTCATGAAAAACATTGAGTCATGTAGGATTGAGTCATGAGAAGCATTGAGTCATGTAGGTAAACATTGAATCATGTATGTAAACATTGAGTCATGTAGGTAAACATTGAATCATGTAGGTAAACATTGAATCATGTATGTAAACATTGAGTCATGTATGTAAACATTGAATCATGAGAAACATTGAGTCATGAGAAACATTGAGTCATGAAAAACATTGAGTCATGTAGGATTGAGTCATGAGAAGCATTGAGTCATGTAGGTAAACATTGAATCATGTATGTAAACATTGAGTCATGTAGGTAAACATTGAATCATGTAGGTAAACATTGAATCATGTATGTAAACATTGAGTCATGTATGTAAACATTGAATCATGAGAAACATTGAGTCATGAGAAACATTGAGTCATGAAAAACATTGAGTCATGTAGGATTGAGTCATGAGAAGCATTGAGTCATGTAGGTAAACATTGAATCATGTATGTAAACATTGAGTCATGTAGGTAAACATTGAGTCATGTAGGTAAACATTGAATCGTAAGAAGCATTGAGTTATAAACATTGAGTCATGATAAATATTGAGCCATGTAGGTAAACATTGAGTCATTAGAGGAAATATTGGGTAATTAGGGGAACATTGGATCATGAGGAGGCAAGAACCATAGGGAGAAGTAGTTAGTAACGTGGGAAACATCAAGGCATGGAGAAAACATTGAAATGCATTAAGATGTGTTTGGTAATTTTAGTAACACTTAGTGAAATTACCTATTAGTAATTGTGTGAGAGAAATGTAAAATAGAAAAGTGGTACATATCATGCTTTAGAAATTTTATTTCGATTTGCTTTGGTTAGTGAATTGAAGGTACCTATGGTACCGTATATGAAATGTGGTCTTGTAAATAGCGGTTGTAGAAAGTAAATAATTCAGAAAGTAAGTAATAATTATAATTCAATTTTATAATACAGGGTGTTTAAAAAAAAAGTTATTATTTTTAAATAGTCGTAGCTCCTTTATTTTTCATCACAATTTTATCAAATTACTGTTCAATTAAAGAAAATTTTCTTAAGTTTATGATCATACATTTGTACTGCCTTGTTCCCCATTGTTTTTAGTTGTTAGCTCTTAACTTAAATAATCAAGTCTGTGTTCTAGATCTGCCCAAACTTGCCGCAACATTGGAACATCAATTTGATCAAAATTCTTCTTTGATCTTTCGCATAATTTCTTCCAAGCTGTTGTCTTTGTTACCATAAACCCGATCTTTAACAAACCCCCAAACAAAAGAAACGTATATGGGGACCTCTATCTGGCAATCTCGGTGGCCAAGGTACGGCCAATTCAACAATTTGTTAAAAAAATGTAACCTTTTTTGTTTTTTATCCCACAATAATGTAAGAAGGTACTGATAATCAAAACAGCTGATTAGAAAAAATTTGAGTTTTCCTAACAAATAATGAAAACTAGAAGTTTCTACCTCTAACACAGGATTGGTAAAACAAAGTTAAAATCAATCATTTTTTTATAAACTCCCACACAAATTCGTAAACATAAGAAACCAGATTTATAGAATTTTAAAAGTTAATACATCAATAACACACCACAAATCAATGTATTCTCTACTTACTGTTGTAAAACGTGTTGTCTTTGACAATCTCTGATGGGGTTGTCAGGGTTTGAAGGCCAAAATCTGAAATTTTGAGTACAAATCGTCCGTCTATGAGGCAATTACAGGAGCGCAGTTTACCGTGCACAGCCACTTCGCAACCATGTAGGAAAGCCATTCCCTACGACAAATGATAAACATTTTAAAATACCTTCTGTTAAACATTTAAATAATTTGTTCATGCTGTCCTATGTGATTTTAATGGTTAAATTAAAATTTGTTAGTATATTTTGTAACTTATCTGAACAACATTATGTTTAACTCAGAATTGTAATAAAGACGTCACCACTTGGGCTTAATAGTTAATTCGTCAGTCTTCATAGTTCCTAATGCAACAGGTTGGTAAAAATGCAGCTCTATTGTTACTACATTACCTCACCATTCTATTACATAGATGTAGTAATTATCTATTAGAATTATAATAGTGTTTACGCAAAAAATAATACAGTTAATAGTAATATATTTTTGTCACAATTTAATGTAATTGATATTTTATGTACTTGTTATTGTAGTTATTTCACTTGATGTTTGCGCTCAAGCTTTAGCTTCGCAGGGATCTAATTTCAGATTATGTAAAAAGTTATAGGTAATGTTTATTTTTTGTGAATAAATTAATTGAATTGAATTGTAAACTGTACCTATAATAATGTTGAAGATAATGATACACATCTTACTATTTTATAACCAATGCATGCATAATAACATACTGCTATTTTTATGTGAGTTCATACAACTTTTTTTTTATTGGTTGGTTAAAAGTCTTGTTTTAATTTATCTTGTAACACATTTTATTGCTTACACATTTTGATGACTATCTTTACTGTTAGTTGGTGTTATTGAAATAATTTATGTTTGTGACTCATTTGAGGAATTTGAGATGAGTTTTAACAATAGATTCAACTAATTTCTTTTCAAGGCTCAATTGAACTAAAGCTCTTTTGGTGAAGTCAAACTATTTTTTGAGGATGAAATGTCCACTTCACAACAACATTCACAGTAAAATCCACTACATACTTTGACGATGTCATGTATGAGTGACATCCTGAAGTTCCAGTCTAGCTGGATGGCCTCATTCTCCAGCACATCCTTCAGGCTGCCCTTGGGACAATACTCTGTGAGGATCAGCACTGTAGGACAGTCTATGCAGGCTCCCACAAACCTCACGGTGTTCTCATGGGTTACGTCGCGTACCTTAAAACAATAGAAGTTTTGGGAATATGTTATTTTGTTAGTTTTTTGTGACATTAGGGTAATTGAGAACATCAAACACTTCAAGGGGACGTTTTACAAAGGTATAAAATGTTTGTGGATAATCTGGAGGGGGTGTTGAACCCTCTCTTGGTAAAGTCTGAGACAATGTTAACACCGGCTTCAGAAATGCTAATTCCAACAGTTAGTGCCACACGTGCTCACTACCTTCTCTGTAGGCCTTCTTTAAATTTATCAAACAAGAAAACTGGATACAAAATCTTTTTTGTATGACTTTTCCAAATCAATTTTAAAAAGACTCATTTTAGATATCCTACTAAGGTACTATAAACTTGGTACTTTGCTGAACAAACTACATTTATACAATTTAATCGTTCTAGGGATCTTCAACATCTTCAAAACGATCATATTTCCCAGGTAACACGTAAGCTTACGGCAAGCCTTGTCAAAGGCTTGTCTGGAAAGGCCTTTTTATATCAACTTGTGCCAGACTTGTGGCACGCTTGTGAAGAAGGCTTACGGGGAACAGCTTGGGGCCAATTCGTGGAAGGTGTATCACGACAAGCAACGTAGTTGTAATTTTCATCCATCGCAGCGCTAGCGGCGCTAGTCAGTCTACTACACAACAACAAAACAACCGCCATTTTATTTGTGTTTGTTTGGCCGTCTGGCGTCTGCGCTTGTTCTTTCTTGTTTTCGGTTAAGTGTTTATTTTTCCTTAAGTTTTGAGTTTATATTTCGCGTTTAAATTTTTAAGTTTATAAAGTTTGTATACAGCTCTAAGTAAATTTATAAGTGCTTTTGGTTAATTAGTAGTTTTCCTCGGTGATAACTTTGAAACCTACTGCGATTTTCAGGTGAGTAGAATAACCTAGATTTAGCAGTAAGTTAATCAGTAATTTTAAATAAGTTAAAGCAGCCAACTTAACTTAAGTTTATAAGTTATTAATATAATGATTTAAGCATCAACCGTTTGATTTAGAGCCTGGGCCTAGTCTAGACATAACTCACAAAAGTCTTACCGGTACCTAGCTAAAAGGCCTGCCCTAGGCTATTTGATTTATGATTTATGTACATCAGATGTACATTTATCACATCTTATACCTTCTTAACTTTTTTAAAATCTGTTTTCACTTGATCACTTGAAAAATTGGCAGTCAATTTAGTGTTTGTTAAAAACTTTTCCAGGAAATGTTTTAATAATGATTCATTATTGGTAGCCCAATAAACCTGAGGGCTGATATAAATTTTAGGCCTACTTTATTTTTTTTTTAACTGCAGCACATTTTATTCTGTCACAAAGTGTCAAAACACCTAGTAATTTGCTATTGGGAATGTTCATGTTCATTTGTTATGTTAGGGTCCCATAATAACTTAAGCTACTTAGCTAATCTAACTCATGTGTTAATTAGCACCTCGACTGTAGGCTGCTAGCCTTGATAGACTCTACTAAGTCAATCAAAAGGACTAGGCTAAACATAGGCCTACCCTCCCTGGGTACTTACAGTTTCACATAGAGCCGTCTGCAATAAGTTTTTGGATGAGTAAGGATAAAAGTTAACTTAGGCCTAAGTTACTTATTATCAAAATGATGCGTATTCTTTTCTCGCACAATAGACTTTGCCCTCGTGGCAAGCTTAGCACTTTTCGGACGAAATAAGTAAATACAGTGGAACCTTGATAACAAGTAACAAGACCCTCGATAACAAGTCACCCTTGATAACAAGTCTCATTTTTAAATCCCCTAGAATTTATTTTACCCCTAATCACATGTTATTGCAAACCTCGATAATAAGACAACCTTGATAACAAGTCTTATTTTATAATCCCCTTGAGAGCCTTTTTATCAAGGTTCTCCTGTAATTCTTACTTAGCCTATAATTTTTTTCGGAACATTCCAAAAAATTTTCTAGCATCGAAACGCTTAAACGTCACTTTGCTTTAGATCAAGTTATGTAGGCCTAAAGATTATTGTCTCCCGCGGTCACATAAAAATCCTGAATACCCCCTACAGTAACGGAACATCATTATCGCCTTTCTCCATTTGTGGAAAATCTTGACATTAGGTAGGGCTACATATATTATAAAAATAGGCTATGTGCCGGAGCGAGCTTTTGTATACAGTTTGCTTGTTTGTAGATATATTATGTTGATCAAATTTAGCAACTTTATTTAGTCTATTTCACCTTAATATTAACATTTGCTCAAAAAAACATATTTTTGCATTCCCCATAGTAGAAAACCTAAGTACTAGCATAGACAAAAAGAATTAAATATAAAAAGACCGTCAGCTGTGCTGCAGTTACCATAGGTTCTGGCGCACACCGCTGGGAGCGCTATGCAGTTACGGCCTACGCACTACGTAACTACATGGCGCTCCCATCATTGTGTGCCAGAACCTATGGTAACCACTGCACGGCTGACAGTCTATATTTAATTCTTTTTGTCTATGTTACTAGTTAGATCTAACTTTATTCAAAATATGCTTTATGGAAATCTTTAAGCATAAATCCAGTTTAAGACGAATTGATAGTCTGCAGGTTTGCTGCTTCAGGTGTATTTTTGCTCTGGTACTTTACTCATTTTGTATGTTTAGTGCACCTTTTTCTGATTTATAGATGCTGTCAGGAGAAAACATTGAGAAACATCGGCTGAGAATATGAAGAAGGAACTCAATCAAGAAGTGGCTGCAGCAAGCCACACCCAGATTGATGAAGAGGTATTTTTTCCTATTTCAATTTACGGTACCGTACTTATTTCTTTGTGATAAGAAATTATTATGAGTAAAGGGCGTTTATAAAAAAAACTCCTCATTTACTAGCACCCGTCACCATAGCAACATTTTCCGTAAGGCATTGCAGCTCTAGATTTTTTCAAATTTTATGTGCCACAGTTTGCCAACAAATGCTGACCAAAAATTTACAATTGGTTGGTACAATGAGTTGAACTGTTATTAAAGAATTAACTTCATATTTCCAATCTGTTAAGATATGTATTTGAAAACCCCAAGAGTTCTATTGACACCCTGTATTTAGGTTGCCATTGGAAACTGTACAAAGTTCTTCTGTTAGTTTGGATATTGTACTTAGTAAAAATGCCATTTAGATTATTCTAACTCTATTAAAAACATTAGCCATACCTATAAAACATTAATAGAACCAGTTAAATTCAGGGTTTATTTAACCTTTTTACCTCACATTTGCCTGTCCACATGGGCCTCAGGTTTGTGCATGGAAAGTTTATTTCAGCACTAGTCTAGTCAATTAGATTTGAATTTCAGTTATATATTGAGTTAAGACCCCACTGAGTGTAAAAAAAAACCACATGTAGCCTATATGTAGAGTGGTATTGTATGCAACAATTGTTTTTTACCTTTAATGTCTCATTTCTTGCGAAATCGGCATCGTAGACTATCTTGAACGCGCGGCCAAGTCAGTTTACCGAGTAAGATAGAGTAGTGCGGCCGCGCAAAGCTCATTTCGGTGGCAAAATTCCAAGCTCACTATTCTCCATGACTGAGCATTTCGCTTCTTAGGCCCGGTTCACACGAGCAACTTATCTAGCTAACTAGGCTGTAACTAGGTAAGCCCGAATGGGTAGCGGACCAAAGGATACACCGGTTCACACGAGCGACATGTCAACGGACTAGGTCGTAGGTGTGTTGTAAATGAATGTGCATCGATAAACGATGTTTTTAATACATCGATGTTTTCAATACATCAATATTTTCGATACGTTGACATATTTCTGGAAATATTTGATGTTTTTGCGTCAATGGTAAGTGAATTTTTTTTTTTTACATTGATGTTTTAAACAATCATCGAATCATTTCAAAACTAAATTTGCATTGGAATCACCCAACAAACTATCATTTAAACTATTATAAAGTTTGGTTGAAAAAACATCATTGTTTAGAGTGTATAGGGTCAATATAAAATTATATTATAAACCTATTAATCGGTTACAAATTTATATTTAGTTTATTCCTATATTTGGACTTGTAATACTAATAATAGGCCTATAAACATAATTGTTCCAAAGAAACGGTTGTTGCTTCATTGATTCAATACAAATATCGATATCAATGTTACTCGGATCCATCACTGGCGACAATGAGAACAAAGGGAAGAATGCGAGCTGCAGCGTGACGACCGTGAACGCTCCCATAGGGGCCATCATACTGCTAAGCCGCTAGAGCGGGCGACTGGGTTGCTGCCATGAGTGACTTGGAAGCGGGGCCCGACAATAGTTTGGGACACCAAGCTCGAACGCGGCTCGCTAGTCGTCGCCCTACGCTTGTGTGAACGGTTCCATTTAATCCTGTAGTCCTCTACCCAGTCGGGCTTACCTAGTCACAGCCTAGTCAGCTAGATAAGTCGCTTGTGTGAACCGGGCCTAAAATGGTAGTATTCATTAGTCTTAGACCGTCTCTAATATTAACATCACCCATTCCTGTCTCAAATTTCCCAGTCATCTGTTTTATTAGTTAATGATACTAGATCTAGTATAAATTAATGATATTCTATTTTTTTCTATATTTTAATATCATCAGCTGATTGGTTAATTATTTATTGTTTTCTGTTGTGAGTCAGTTGTCCAATTTATTGTTTTGTTTTAGCGTTTGTACTTTTTACAATGTTCAAATATATTTCTAAAACGTTTAAAATTTATTGAATTTTTACTTGAACTCCTTTAAAAAGTCAAATATAGGTACTTTTAAAATGTTTTGAAGCTAACCCCTGAAAGCTATAACATCTAATAAAGGTTTAAACCTATAGTACCGGTATGAAATTTTTCAAGTGTCATGGAAAAAGGTATAGTGATATAGACTTTATAAACTGTAAAAAGCCTCTATTTTCTCATTTCAGTCCGACCAAAATTAAATTTATTTGGAAACCTAAGTAAAGATTTATTAAATTTGGAACACCATGCCCATAGTTGTTTTGCAAATAATTGGCTCACACACAAAGCAATATTTGAAACATTTATCTCATCATAGGAATAATAAATATTTTCAGATCTAAAGGAAATTATAATCCATAAATTTGGCAAAGTCACATAATTTATTGAGGGAATACATGTATGGCAACTTAAAAAAATACTACAAAACATCAATTTTATTGAGACAACAAAATATTTTTAATTTCTGTTTTTCAGGTCTAACAGACAGCAAGCAACACCCGCTGCTGAAGAGTGTTCTGATGACTGAATACTGTACGAATTGTAATTTAAACCTGTGTAAATATTTTCAGAATATAAAATGTTAAGTGCACTTTTACTTTGTTTGATTTCCATTGTCAAAACTTCTCTGATTAAGATAATTTCTCAATTAGTTTGAAATCAACTGTAGGTATAGGAATAAATTTGTTTCATTTTTTGTCATTACAGCTTAGTAAAGCTATGTAACTAATACAGTACTGTGTTAGGTCTATTATATGGAGTCAATTTAAATTCAACCGAGGAGTTAGCTCTGTTTAGCATTTCCTCTAATAACATTCAAGTTTTTCTATTAGAGGCATTTATATTAAATTTGCTTTGAGTAAAAATTAAACTATACTGATTTAGTTCTGAAAGCTGTATTTAGGGCACATTAGACTTCTGATAACAAGTCTGATATTGCCCTACTTTACCTTACAAAGCTATCTTACGGTTAGTTTGTAGGCATTTGACAAAAATAATTTTTAAGTAAAATACCTTTTTGAAACCCGTAGCCTACATTTCTTAAAATGATTGTATTCTACCATGAAATGAACAGTTGTCATAAAACATATTTATTTTTTGCTCAGTGCTTTATTTTGGCTTTTAGTTAGCAATTAGTTACTTTTATTTTCAAACAGGATCCAACACATTTATCTCTAATTAGCCTACAGTCCCAAGTCTATTTTTAAAACCTATCATTCTCTATCTGGCAAAGTAAAAAGTTTTGTTGGCCAAACAAAATTTAATTTATTTTACATACATTACTATGAAACATAAACATAATGTGCTTCATTTTTATCTGAGCTATATTTTCAATGATTTATTAATTTGTTTTATGGAACAAAATATATCTGTTACAGTTTCTAAGTTCTAATAAAAGGCCTGTGATAAGTTTAAACAGAAGGCCTGTGACAAGTTTGAACAGAAGGTTTGTGTCAAGTTTAAACATAAGGTGTGTGGCTAGTTTAACCAGAAGGCATGTGGCAAGTTTAATCAGAAGGCCTTTGACAAGTTTGTATAGAAGGCCTGTGACAGGTTTAATCAGAAGGCCTGTGGCAAGCTTGTCTGATGGGAACTAGGAGGTTTGCTACAAGCTTGCCCCAAGTGTACAAGCTTGCCGTTATACACTTGTAGCAAGTTTAAAGGTTTGACAAAAAAGGTTTGTGACAAACCTTTCTCAAGCTTTTTTTGTTACCTGGGTTAAATTCAATATATGAGATCGGTCAATATCTCAATTCTGGCTATTTATAGGCATGCACTGGATAAAATACTCCCTGGTGTAAATTAACGTCCACACTTAAGTACTACCACTATCCCCATCCTGATAATTAGACAAATTCATTAATTACAAGGCAAAAATGTGGTACGGATTCCAAAACTGTAGGTCCCTTAGTTGCCAAAATACTGTATGGGCTAGTAATTAACAGCTGTACCTAAGGAATATGTTGGCCTTAGTCACTAACTAGACTACAAGATAGCGCATGTCATACTACACTCATCTCCATTTAGACTTGGCTTAAAATACCTACAATCGTATGGTCGCCATTCCAAAGTAAAGAATTTTTAGTAAAGTATTCACAATTAACCACTTTATTTTTCATGCATATCTTTTTAGTACTGTATTTTCTCAATGACATCCCTCCTCAATCACTCCCAAATAGTTGTGAGAAGCTTTTATCCTGACCTGTTTTATCTCCCAGAGCAGTTTCTTGTTGATATCCACTTTCTTCTTGATCACTTTCTTGATTGCCACCCTCGACCCCTAGAACAACACCAGACAGATGAGCTGATACCGACCATTACACCATTCTACGGGGCTTTGCTACTGACCGACTCTCCGCCGGGAACCCTTCCACTCACCTTATATATTCCTATGGTGGTGAACACTTGGGTCAACAAGAGAGAGGAACTTGACTCTATGGAGCTGCGACGAACTGTCAGTCGGTCGTGGAGTCCGTTCACTCCGTTCTCATACATCTGTAGCGGAACGAATAGTTGTCAGTTGATAGTTTGAAAGTATGACTAAAGAGTTATGTTACGAATACCCCTATTCCCAATTTAGATGAATACACAGCTGGGTTTGTTTCTAAGTATATAGGTGTAGAATAAAGTGAGATGTGTAGCTTTGTTTTGTATACCATCTGTTTCATCATTCAGGATCATAAAAGCCAATGATCAAGGAAAACTGGGTCCTGTTCTGAACAAACAGGTTTAATTTAAAAATGTAGTTTTAGTAATTTCCTTCAAATATTCCTAAGTAATTAACAAGAAAAGATATTTTCTCCTTGTGTTATAATATTTTATTACTGCGAGTTGACGATTAAAAATATGACATTTATACATCATTACTATAATATACCTCAAGGATCGATTTTAAGTCTCAGTGGGGTGGGTGAAATCTACAATTTGGATTTATAAATTTAAAATGTAATATTAGTCTTTGTTTTAAATATGTCTCAATAATAAATAATACATTTTATTGTTTTATTTTTTCCATCAACCTGAATCTCATGACAGTTACATTATAATATTTTCTATACTGCAATGGTGTACTTTATACTTCATAGGGGTTGCTGATGTAAAATAACAATTTAATATTGCTGCTTACATTTTACCATAGCCTCTTCTAGTACAAGGCCGCGGCGAGACAAAAGTGGCTACACCGCTGTCCCGTCAAACTGAAACAGCTGTTGCACTACTTTATAGGAAATGTTTATGTTTACACTTTTTTTATATCTGTTATTGCCATGGAAATATCCCACAAACTAGACGTTGTGATGTTGCCACACACACCAACACCGCAGCCTTGATGTTAGAGGAGGCTATGATTATACTGTACATCCCTTTAGGAGCAATTTTAAAAACCTATCCAAAGATAGATAACGACGTGATACTTGTGTACATGAATGGTTTCTAATTATTGAACATACATGAATGAACATTGTGAATAACTGTGTGACCCAGAAGTGCTGTTTATTCAAAACTATTAAAACTTTAGGTGGTGTCATTGTAAAACTTTAGTCTTTAGTCGGAAAAGTTAAACCTATATTATATTGGTAGATTTTTTACAAGCGAATTTAATTTTACTTTAAGCAAACTGAGCCTATAGTCAATATGAATTTAAATATCAAGTACTTCACTGTATTGACACCTCTCTCAATTTCTCATTGGATTTTCAAACAAGCAATAAAAAAAAATATCCTTTCAAAATTATTTTATCCAAAAAGTCATAATTCAAATCGTAAAAAATCAGGGTGTGAAGCAAAACACAAAAATCTTTCTCAGAAATTTATTAGAGGAACTCGGTTGAGCTAAATCTACTAGTAACTATAGGCCTACGCTCCTCAGCGGTGGTTCGCTGCAGAGCGAGACGAGAAGAGAACGGCTTGCCAATCTCCAGTAGAACCTCCTCAGGACGAACACGCCAAGACATGTTGTTGAGATCTGCAGCCAGCCGCATGTGTCTGACAGCCAATCAGAATTATATTTTATTAATTAGTGTTACATTTACTACTTCTGTATATTACATGTATACTTAAAATAGAAAATACACAGAAAAACATTTTTTTTTTATTGTAAAAAAATTCTATGTGTAATGATGTGAGTAGTTAAGTAGGTATTTTAATCATAAATTCTTGTCAATAATGACACGCTAAAACTGGAAAATATTTAATTTATAAACGTATTCATTTATGTAAATTACTACCTATTAAAAATATTTTAATATTAGTTTAAGTACAAAAAATTAAAGCGCACGAATAATACAATTAGAAAATATTTTTACAACGAAAATAAATGTTAGAGTTACTTACTTGTTGGCAAAGAATGCTAACATGAATATGAATCCGAGAAAGATGCTGAAAGCGGCCATCCCATACAGGAAAATCGTGTGATGTTCTGAAAACAAATTACTTTATTTATAATAATCATCTCCATTTATACTTGGCTTAAAATACCTACATTCGTATGGTAACCGTTTCAGAATAAGGTATTATAATTATAATACATATTCTTGTCACATTTCGTTTTGTTTACAACATTAGATTAATATGTTAACTAATGGAACATAAGTTATTGTTGTTTTGTGGTTTTAAAGGAGTGACAATTGTAAAAATCATTAGAGACTAAGAGGTAAGGTTAAGATAAACAATCGTTCGAGGTAAGATTTTATATTTTTTAGTTTATACTTACTCTAGCTAACTCAAATATTTGTCAAAAAAGGTTAAAATATAAAAATCAACTTTTGATTTTAAGTTATTTAGTTTCAAAAACTAAATATATTGTCAACACCTTTTATGGCCTAAATACCATACTTCCATAGTATGGTTTATGTATTCGTATTAACTATCTTGATTTCTTTGTAATTTCTGTGTATCATCGTCTCCAATGTGGTGTTGAATGGAATTATTCACCAAAGTATGTATATGCTGCGGACATTGACAATGTTGCACAAAGAACGAAAGTAGCACGCACTTTATTTGGATAAATTTAGACTTTTAAGATCGCCTATTTCGTCATAAACCAAGTCAAGTTATTGAAATGTTTTGTTTCAAAGTAGTCGCACGAATCTCAGTTTTCAAGACATTACTGGGAAGTTTAACTGGCAAGAAAATACGAAGCAACTTTTCAGATGCCTTGCGGCATTCCATATTTGGGACAAACTAAAATCCATTCAATTGAATAGCTCAGTAATATCGCCAGTACAGTGACGTGGCTGTAACTAATCCTCCTGAAGACAAGGACTAGATATGTGAAATTGTTGTATTTACCATTGCTTTCATGGCAGATGGGGTCGTTTCCCATGAAGCCGCACCGGGGTATATCAGCAGGAGGTCCTTCCTTGCCTCCAGGCCAGTGAATTCTCTTGTTGGCTACTGGCTGTACATACAAGTATAAGTTTAACTTGTTTTAGTGTACACTATTCTCTTGTATAATTCTAAGAGTCATTCATAACTAAAATTGGAACATTTTCCCTAAAACCGATCACTCCTACAACAATATTATGATTGAAAAGTGTGCCCCAAGAAAATGGAGCCCGTATCTATTGTTTCATTTACAACATCAAAAGAAATATACATTTTTCTACAGTTCTCATACCTTGTAAATATTTACCTAGACTTTCATTCATAATAACCGTTTTAATATAGAATGATAGTTGTAAAATATATCTAACGAGTTGTTTGTACAATATTGTTCTCTAACAAAGTCATACACTATTTAAATTCGTCCAATCTTTTAAAACATTTTAGTTGCTCTACATTAATTGCAAATGTTCACCCACAAAACAGTTATATAATATCCGAAATCAATGAAGCTCAACAAAATGTTAGTACATGTTAACTTTGACAAATGTACGAGGATAATGTAGACCTTTATTGTAATTATGTATTTCACCTGGTATGTCCGGTTCACCCCATAGTAATGAGCCACCACTTCAAACTTCCCTGTGATTGGATCCAAGTCCAGCACCGAGTAGTCAGCGTCCCTCTCACCATTCTCGTCTATCCTTACATGACCAGTAATGCCTGTGGACAAACCGTTTATTTAGCAACATACTAACCATACAATACAATTGTTTATTGCATTATAACTGCAAGCTACGTATGCTAAAAGTACCCTTTGTCCGGCTTAAGTTAGTTCCACTAATGTAAGTTGTGTTTGTCTATTAAGTGGCTCGGTTATTTACTTTTTGTTGGTTCGAAACTGGACCCAGCCCTCCTGGATCATTTGGCATTTTAATAATTAAAATGAATTTGAATAAAAAACTAGCTGATAGTGGCAAAGCTATCACATCCATACAAAACTTACCCTTCACTTATCACATCAAAATACACATTCTGAAGTACTGATGTCGGGTGTCTAATCTAGGGAAATGCTCTTACATTCAGTGGTTTTATCTAGGTGCATAAAACAAATAAAAAATATCATCTGCTTAAATATTGTTTTTCCTGTGTAAAATGTGTGTGGTTAGATGTCTAAGCTGTCTAATAACATTTTTAAAAGATTAAAGTTAAACTTTATGGTGCGCGTTAGGATTTTCCCCTGTCAAAAATATTACATTTTCACGAGTACGGTATTCAACCAACCCAATTCATGTCTAGGTTTATTATTATTTCTTACTTTTATTATCATTCAATAATAATTACGGATTACCTAAAATAGATGGAATATTTCGTTTCCCTTGGTCTGGTAAATATTGGTTTTATCTAAAAATAATTCAAAATGTCAATTAATTACAATATAGTACAAAATAATTCGTTCTCTCATTTTCCTTTTGCGTGTAAACATTTTATAAAGCCTATGTTTATTTATATTCATGTGAATTTGGTTTTATTGGTGTTGAATGCGTAGTACAAAATTGTATGTTCAATGATACATTGAGAATGTTAGATAGTGTTAACATATAAGAGGGAAAAGAATGAATTTTTATATCACGTAACTAGAATTTTTTTAAATTATTTTTTTACTTATCACAAAATATTTTAACAATTGTATTTTTACCGTATGATTTAACCAAATGAAATCAACGGAGATTGTAAACTATGCAAATGCCAATCGAGGGAAATACAAAGCAATACTAAATATTCATGTCAGAAATGTAAAGTAGATGTATAGTCTCTAGAGGCTTGTACATAAGCTATTTGGTTAATTACCTAAAACCTCAACTAACCTGCCAATAACATTCTTTGTAGTAATTAGTTTCTGTCTATCGTATTTGCGTACAACAGACTTAATTTCAATCAGTCCCCTACCAGTTTACTGATTAATGATTTGATTTGTGCCCGAGAGTTGCGTCATACCTTGATGATAGGTGGTTAATTTGTATGGGAAACTACAAATGAACCTACTTATTGAAAATATTCTCATACAATATCGTTTAATAATAAAAGAAAGTTTGTTACAAACGAAACAGCAATACCATGTGAACACAGCCTACAAACACTTCACTATCACGACTAAGCTAAAACTATTTTTTCTTCACATTACAATGGACATGGAATTTGGTAAACCGCTGCAGATTACCCGCTACAGTTGATTTTAAAAACCCATCGTCTTAAAACCTTTTATGCTTTCATAAAGCCTAGAACACCTGTTAATCTGTTTCCTGTAATCTTTTTTATGTACAAAATTACACTAAAGGAGGTTTAAAACTCAACGTCCTTTGGTACAAAGGTAGTAATTTCAGCAGTAGGGCCTACACTGTTTTAAAAATTGAAAAAAACCATTTAATCAACAACACGGTTGTTTCCCTAAAACACGAACATTTATTCTACTGTTAGATCCAGCTCTGATCTAGAAATAAAATCTCTCTTTGAATTAAAATGTTTTTAAAAACCTTTTGGAGGCAAAAACTGACCGTGAAAGGTTCTTCCCCACATCTGCGCAGTGATCGCGCGACCGTCCCTGATGTCGATTCCTTTAGTCAGAGTTTCATTCAGTGCCATCCCGAGCAGATACACACCGTCGTAGAAAGCTCCGACGAAGAAATTTACCTGTCAAACAAAAGTGATTAACACAATTTTCTCATTTTTACCATTGATTTCATACATTGGCAGTAAAATTCTTATCACGTGAAATCAGAAGCCAGATTTGATTTGTCACTGATCGGAGTCAGTACAATAGGTTTCTCTCGTTCAAGGTTATTTCTTTAAATACCTCATGACCATATGCAAAAATGAAGATTTATTCTTCCTTTTAGCATTATTTAAGAAAGAAAATAAGTGGAGAATTGTGACTCAATAATTAAAAAACGCGATAAAGTTTGACAGTATTTTTTTATTAGCTCTTCCTAAAATATTAGTTCGTTTTTCAAAGTTATAGGGTAAAATTTAATATTTACATTAAAGCAAAGAAGGATAAGAGTGAAATTTAACTTACTTTAAACTGGCATTTTTAACATACCAATGTAAGAATATTGTATTTTTACAAAAGTAAGAGCTTGAAGAAAGATCATTGAATAGAATGTTGTATGTTTTAATATTCCATACAAATATTTCAACATTCGCTCGTTTAATGTTAGCGTTACAACACAAAATCCATCATTATTACTTTTACCTCTTCACCTTCTGAAAATGTGTAGTTGTAGTGTAGCTTGGCACGCTGACGCACATTCTCTGCAAACTTGCTGAAGTCTTTGCTGGTCGGCTCAAGCAGGGACACTCGTAGAAGAGCCTCGTAGGCTTTCCGAGCTATTGAGTCATTCTTGTCATGAGCCTCCCAGTCGTGGTCGCCCCAGTACGAACCCTACGGAGAAATGACTCAGCAAACTGAATAGCTTCATGACTCAATTAACAGTTAGCTTGTGAAAAAGCCTGTGTGAACTGATCAGTGATAAAATAGTTGTGTTCAACACTAGGAGCGAAAGTGGCTCTTTACACTTTCGCTCCGTGTGATGAACAACTATGTTCATCAAACTGTGGAAATAACATTCTAATCTTTAAAAAATTACAGCTCATAATTTGAGGTTATACAAAGTCATAAATGTTTACAAACATAACTTTAAAAATATCATGTGATAGCAGCGTTTTCATAATGCACTGAAAAGTTTGAGGTTAGCGAACCGAAAAATTTGGCCATATGTTTTTCTCTTAATTAAAGTTACCCCAAAAACAGGATTACTAGAAAAATACCGGTATGGGTCATAAACATAACAGATGACGTTTTTGGCCCGAATCCTATACTAATAGCATTGAACATATGTTTTGGCAGTTCCATTTAAGCAATGTTAAACAATGTTTATTTTCGGGGCAAAAACGTCATTTGTTTATGTTTATGATCCATACCGGTATTTTTCTAGTAATCGTGCCCAAAAAATTATCAATTAATTTTCGGACGATTTAGAGAACTAAAAACGGCTGTTTTCTGGACAGTGTGATGGAATAGTAGTTATCGTCATTATGAGTGAAAGTGGCTCTTTTTGGTACCGAATCATGTTATAGAAGCGAGGCGCAGCCGAGCTTAGAAATACGATTAAGTACCAAAAAGACACGAATCCTAGAGAAATACCGGTATGGATTATAAACATAAACAAATTACGTTGTTGGCCCAAATCCTATACTAATAGCATTAACATATGTTTTTTTGCAGTTCCATTTAAGCAATGTTAAATATTGTTAATTTTCGGGCCAAAAATGTCATTTGTTTATGTTTATGATCCATAACGGGTCTTTTCTAGTATTTGTACAAAAAGATACTTTCGCTCCGTGTGCTGAGCAACTATTTTCACCATACTGTGGAAATAATCTTCTAATCGTTACAAATTAAGGTCACATAATCTTTGGTTATACAAAGTCATCATCAATGTTTACATTCTGTTGTTTAAAACATAACTTAAAATATCATGTCATTTGCAGCGTGTTTATAATTGTATGATGTGTCATAATCAAATTTTGAAGTTGAAATTTACCATTTCTTTCTGTTCCCTATTTGAAGTTAACCGAAAACAATTATTTTGCGGACGATTTATAGAACTAAAAACGGCTGTTTTCTGCACAGTATAGTGAAAATCACTTTTGAACTTTGTCTTAGACTAAGATGTAAGTTCTCTAGCATACATTTAAACTGTGGAAGTGTTAATTTCTGTTTATTCATTTTAACTTCAAAGTATTGATGCGGTATGTTTGAGCTCATAGATCTAGAACACACTGTGTGTGTAAGTCATAATGATTATGCAGCTTTTACATGAACTAAAACTCTAAAAACATAATAGTGTAGTAATGAAAATGACTCAGTTAACTGAATTATTGTGATTAAAGCTATGCTTTTCCTCAAATAAAATGATATAACATTTAATACAATTTACAAGCGGTTCTCCAAATATTTGTTACCTGTAAATTGTGAGATGTGCATAAAGCAAGGAAAAGTCCTTTCAAGCGAATGTTTGGCATAAAGATAAAAATATTTGTTACTATAAATCTAAACCTGATAAAGAATTTTAACCGTTAAGATCAATAAAAACATTATTGCCATTTAACGGGAGTGCAATGGCAGTTTAAATGAACACTCATCTCAGTGGTAGTTGTGGACTCGTGATCTGAATGATGTCCCAGCCATTCTCTGGCAAAACATTATAGGATCGTCCAAGTTTCATGAATTGTTCGGAAATTTGTTCAAAGATTTGGGGTTTTATTTAATCATATATAAAATCAGCTTTACTAGATATTTTTCCTGACATTTCCCTCTCGCAGTTCTCATAATTGTATATGTAAAGTGCCTGTGTGTATGTTCTACGCAACATAAGCAGTGAATGGTTACTGACAGATACCTGGACGATTTCTACATCCAGAAAGGTCCAGTCGCCACGAGTCATGCCTAGGTTATGGGCGGCGATCATGCAGCGTCGCACTAGCAACCCCCGCACACTCAAGATCACCACTGGAACATGAGTACAAACAATTAGGAATTAACATGAGATTTATCTGCAACAAACAGTGTCCAAACAAATTTCATCACCTAAAGTGACTCGTTTCGACCCGAGGTCAAGTTTTACTATCAAGGCGAAGCCGAGGTCGGAAAATGAGCGAGAGTTGAAAGGACACTTTTTGCCCGTGTGATGAACTACATTTTTCGTCATATTGCAGCATTATTTGAAAGAACTGTGTTACACAAATGGATATTTTTCTTTAAAGTAACCTCTGAAAACTACTTCTAACTTGTTTTCAATTTAATTCGCTAATGGAAACAAGCAGATGTTTAGTGCAATCGTTTCGTCTATTACGATTTTGTTAGTGTACAGTATATTATCGATGTGTCAAACTGTTTACAATAAGGCAACAATAATTGTTACAAACTACAATCGATTAAGCAATCGATACATACTTTCGAGCATATTACAGTTGACAACAGCTAATTTTTACTCCATAGGGGCTAAAAACGATTAATTCTTATGCTACTTTAGACCTGCAACGCATGCATTAAAAACGGCAGTTTTGCTGCAGTATGACGAAAATGTTAAATGAAACTCTCAGTATATTTTAAGACAGGGGAGAATGTAGAGTGAAGGTAGAATGGAGAGGATTTGTAACTGTGTTACTAATTAAGACCAGCAGCTTCTTTAGCCAGGACCATTTATTAAACGTAATGATCAAGGGGCTGGATTTCAATTATCAAAACGCTACTGGTTTATTTTTCAAAATTAAACCGGCAACCATCTATGCTAACTACTGACCCCTTTAACCACGCAAATATACGTATGTTTACGTAGTGTTAGTGACTACGCGATCACTATAATATTCAGCTACTAAGCTATTGACGATAAAGAACTATTCAATGAAACTGTTGGTCAAATAAGAACTTCTTACCTCTAGCATACATGCTTGCATCTTTCAAGTACTCCTCACAGTTCTCTTCCTCGTTCCCATCCAACTCCCGTACAAAACTCAACGTCCCCGCTTTGCGCAGTCCTATTTCTAAGTGCTTTCCTGAAACAACACTTTGTCAATAGGTGATACGAAAGGTATTTGAACAAAAATAATTCCGTATGATATAGAATCAGATCAAGTTTTAGAATGATGTCAAAATGAGATGCCATCCAAAAACAAAATTGTCAAGTTAAGTTGTCCATCTGTTTGTATGCTCTTACTTAAATCCAACAGTATATTGGTCCTGATTGGGAATAAAGAATAATGAAGAATCAAACAGCTTTATTTATCATTATTATCATTACTGTTACTTAGAGTCACAATGCTTTAACAGTACATGTACTTTAACAGTTTAACATAATGAGTGAAGGTCGACTTAATAATGAAGTGTGATGTCTTATGTAACCTTGTCCCTGCCTAAGGCAAGTTTTTTTCAGCCGTGTCCTTAAAGGGTTTGATCATTAAAAGCCTAAAGATAAAATATAGATGGGTCTAGTTTAAAATAACTCAGCTAATTTCTAACGACTAACTTAGCTTATTTTCTATTATTTTTTGGTCTGTTGTTTATTTAAAACGATATTTGCAGGATGAAGCTGAAAAGATATAATGGCGAGTCTCTCACAAACTATGTGTAGTTTAAGTGTATATTATGATGCTGTGTAATTTTATGTAAGACTGTAATTATTGTAGAATTTAAATAAATAACATAAAATACACCCAAGAACTTCAGATTCCTTTTTAACTGTTCTTGGTAAAAAATATTTTACGGATTCAGCCAACAATTTTGCAAAATTTAACTAATAAAAATAGGAATTAGGCTGATAACCTAAACTAGAGCGCTGCTTAGAAGAGATTTACACTGAACGTAAGGTTATCGTTGCTTCGAGGTAAAACTAAGTCATATTACATGTAACATAATTTGATGTTTCGCCCTTGTTGTAGATATGTATTTTCAGTGCAGCTAAACTTTCGAAGATAAATAACTGCTCTAAAGATGGCAATTTGTAACAAGTTTAATTCACTTGTACCATTAGATGGTTTTATAGCAAATACCACGATGTGTAGATGAGTGTTAGTGTTCAACCTTAGGGAGTTTGGTCTTACCAACGGTGAGTGAGAAGAGATCAGATCTGTCCAGCAGGAGGACGACATGGTTCCAGCCAAACTGCTTGAATATACTGGAGAACACCAGCTTCAGACGGCATTGGCAGTAGGACATGCGGGTCAGTGTGTCCTCCTTCACTACAATCTAAACAGAGGCTAATGTAACATGTTATATTGAACACATTCCTATTACAATTTTACAGATAATCAATATATCTGAAACGACGAGCAAAGTTAGAGTAACCACGACATTGCGTTGTGGTCGGACCGTAATTGGTTTCACACCTCGAATATATTAAACTGCGAGGTGGTTTGGTTAAATTAAATACCGTATAAGTCTCCGTTGTAAAGTTTGGTGTGGAGAAAACATAGTTAAACTTCACAGTATGGTTTTATAAAGTTAAAAACACGTCTATTTTCAAAGAGATTATCTCTAATATTATAAGTAAATCAGCTGATTGCTCAATGCAAATCTAATGGAAATTATAAACTACAAGTTACAGCTTGTAACTTGCAGTTTATTATGAAACGGGTCCGGCCAACTTTTTTATATCTTTGGAAAAACATGTTTTTGTGCAAATACAAATAGACCACAACGATATAAAGCAATTTCAGAATAATTTAATGAATAAGCAAGATATACAATTTCCTTCAATTGAACTTTTTTTGCCAAAAAAATCCATCAACATAGAATGACTCCACAGGTCCCCTCGTATGTACTTAATTGTGTACACCAAAAAGCTTATTTTACTATATAGATAACCCATATAAACTTAATTGCTTTTACAGCATCATTACCCATTTATATGTACAGCAATATGGTTATGAATAGGTTTTACTACGTGTCTTGAGACATAACAAATTTCCAGTTCATACAATATTTACTGTACCAAACAGCTGTGAAGAGACCAATCAACACAAATGTGGCTCGGCCGGCTTTATGACGTCATTTGTAGTGGACATCAACCTTTATAACTAGAGATTGAATTTATCTGAAATAACAACGTAACCAACTCTGATTCTTTCTTGCTTGGGCCTATTTTAGATCTCTATAACTAATAAAATGTACTATCAGTCAATGCTGCTAAAGTGGCTAAAACCTACTGAAATAATTTTAAAAACACAATGATTTTTAATTAATAGGAATGAAATAATATTGCAAATGAACCATTATATAAATTATTGTACTAAAATATGGATAAGAGATGTCTGCCTTTAGATGAGGCAAAACAATATGTTTGTTACAATAGTTTCAAAGAATAAACGTTTATATCCCGTTGTACCTGATTGCGTAGCACTCACTGGTAAAACTGTAAGTCTTCTTAAATTCATTTTTTAAACAGTTTATTGTATAGTGTTCAAATTATTAAATGTATTTGGAAAAAAAACTAATAACCTAACTGAAATAAATTAAATTCTTTAAATGGTTTTATGATAAAGCTAATACTTTTAGGCCGTACTTCCGTATTATTATAACATTAAACTTCTGACTACTTTCCAATACGAAACTTTTGATCAGCTAAACATTCTGACCTGAAGATATTCTCCATTTCCCGTGTCAAGAACATAGAACTGTCTGGAATTATCTGTATAAAACCCGTCATGAATTTTTAAAATATATCGATCATTAGGTTCCTTAATTGTGCCACTAAACATATTTCAAATAATATGAAACTGCAAGTCGTAAAACTATAACTATACTACAACTCTTAACCACTAGTACTAATACATAGATAACTTACGGAAGTGCCGTTACGGAGTTTATGTAAGCGACCAAGTATTCCAGAAGTGACAGAAAGTGTGCCTTCCGAGGGAGGCTGCATGTGCAGAAAATCCAACAATCATACCTGGCTGAAAACAATCTTTTTAAATAGTTCTTTTTACAATCTTGACTCAATACACCTCTAAACATGAATGTTTGAACAAGCTATTTGAGAGCAAGTAGAGGCACCTTGGTACCGCGAAACATACTGCTCAAGCACCTGTCTGTCTGTCTGAAGAGAAGGCGGATATATCCGCCACCCGTCCTTTATCGCCAAAGACTTAGGCGGATATATCCGTCACCTGTCCTTTATCGCCAAAGACTTAGGCGGATATATCCGTCACCTGTCCTTTATCGCCAAAGACTCAGGCGGATATATCCGTCACCCGTCCTTTATCGCCAAAGACTTGGGCGGATATATCCGTCACCTGTCCTGTATCGCCAATTAGGCGGATATATCCGTCACCCGTCCGTAAAGGGTTAATAGGCTTCCTTAGCCAAATGACTGTCGAATCTTGGTACTGTAATCGGGGATGGCCGCAAACGTTGATTTGGTGAAACTATTGACCGTTGCAGCATTCATCTTCGGGATAAGCTTTTCTATAATGCTAATCTAATTCAACTGGAGAAAGAGTCCAGAAGATAGATTGTTGAAAAGTATCAAAAACATCGGCAAGTTTTTTACAGTTCAACGACCTGGTCAAGTCCTAAAGACCAAGATTTGACACTCACCAACGGTACTGTATAATTTACGATATTGTGGTATATTATGGGAATTGTACATGTTTACTTAAAATATTGTGTAAAATATTGTTAAAGTTAGTACTTTGGAGAATAAGATTAAGAAATCCAAGAGGTTAGGCTTACAAAGATGTATCGTTTTCCATATTAGTCAGTCTTAAACTAATTATTGTGTTTATTAATTATTCAACGTAAAAACTAGATATTGCATAGAAACTCATATAAATGTCCTTGTACTAAAAATTTGGCTGCCGACGAAGTTTAAATTTTAAAATCAATAGTAGGGAAAATAAAAATAAAAAACTTCGTGAAACATCAGGAAATAATTAATTAGGAGCAGGTAAAATTTATGAACGCGTTTTCAAATAAAAAAGTCACCATTAGCAGCTGATGTTGAGCTGTTAACTAATCAATTAATCTAGCCTTTCAATTGCATCAATATAGAAGCTGATTTCCAATAAAAGATTAAATTTTTAGGAATTTTGGTACTGTATATGTAACAGTAACAGTGTTGTTTTTATCAATATTTGTATTGCTATAATTTTATAGTTAGGAGAAATGTTCTAGGTTATACATGTTCTATATAAAAGACGTATAAAATATTCTCGTATTATTTACGAGAAAATTTACCCCTCAGATAGTCAAATTTGTACAAACTAGATATTTTACAAAAACAATTAGAAAATTAATCAATTAATTGGTGGATATACATCTTTCATTTCTTTTTAATTACAAAAAAGAAAATGTATTAATGCAAGTATAATGGCATTTTATACAACATCAAAAGGGGAAATTAAGTTTTGACTAACTATATGATGCTCTAAGCTTACAAAGGCTGTTCCAAGCTTGTTTCAAAGTTGTTTAGAACCGCTATTAATGTTTCTTATCAGTTGAAGTTTGTTGTTCCTCATTGTTTGCATTGACGTTTTTATCACTCCACTTCCACCCTTAACTTTGATAATTTAAGATTATACTTATTATTACAAAGTTTAAGACGAAAAAACCACAACCATAAAATAAGTTAAATACTACTCAATAATCAAGCTTAAACAGCTTGTTAATTAAATACATACACAACGTACCACATAGGTAATGATTTTCTAGTAATTGTAATGGTTAGTCCTTGGTGTCTATTACACGTTATTTCAAGTTTTAGTGAATCAATAGATATGCTAAAGTATCAGGTAAAATATTTTTAAAATGTAATAAAGTGTTTATAAGTTTATAAGTATGGAACATGTTGACTACGTCACAATGGAAGTAACAGTTAAAACTTTTAACAGGTATTAAAGTCACAGTGACCTGGCCACCCATGCCTGTGATGATCGCATTATTCCAAAAGGCTGCTAGTCATTTAACAATACCCCGCCCTTGTTTAAGACCGATGAAGACTATTGTGCATGACACGAAATTAATAGCTACATTCTTGTAACCGGTATTAAAGTCACAGTGAAAATTCAGTACCTGGTCACCCATGCCTGTGATGATCGGAGTGTTCCAATAGGCCGCTAGTCGTGCCACGGGCTCCAGTGCAAAGGCACACGCCGGGCCTATGAAGGCGATGACGTCATCACGGAAGTGCATGTCTGCTGCAAGACCAGGAGCTCGGTCCCCAGAACAGGACAAGTAGCTGGAAAATTTAAGAATTGTCATAAATTATTTTCTTCAAGCACGATTTGAGTTAAAGTTTAATTCATTTGAATTCAATTCCCCACTTGACTCATTGACTTTTAGGTACTTGGTTTATCTTTATGAACCAGCTGTAGCATATCTTTCACAAGCACAGTCACAGAATTTATCACACTTAAATAGTATATTTCATCACTTAGGCCTAATGTGACTCTTCTCAACCCGAGCTCAAGTTTTACGATCAAGGCTAAGCCGAGGTCTGAAAATGAGCGAGGGATAACACGACACTTTTGACCGTGTGATGAACTATATGTTTCGTAATATTGCACCATTATTTGAACAAACTATGTCACGAAACTAAAATATTTGTCATTTAAAGATAACCTCTCAAAACTACTTCTGACTTCTTTTCAATTTAATTTGCCAATGGAAACAAGCAACTGTTTGGTAAGTGATTCAATAGTTTCGTCTATTACGATTATGTTATTGTACAAAATACTATCGATATATTGAACTGTTTACAATAAGGCAAAAATTATTAACTACAATCGATACAAGTTTTCGATACATGCAATTTTGTTTCCAATAGAAATGTATTTTATTTCATAAATATAGGTTTTTTAAATTTTTAAATCGTCAACATAATTTTAAAGAAAAGTCTAACAATTCATCATCTTTACTCTTATATGCTCTAGAACAAAATTAACCTGAGATTGAACTCGAATATATCAATCAAACGGTAAATGTGTGAAAAATTACAAAAACACTCTTTTAATGAAAGTACAGTAATGACGATGAATCAATGTATCTGAATCCGGATTAAACTGTATTGAAACTCCTGTATTGAAAGGGATTAATTTTGGCATGTTACATGTATTGGTTTGGTTTGAATCACATGTGACGATTGATCCAGTAATTGAAAGGTTACATCGAAATATATTACAATAAAAAATAACTGAAACAATATAGATTCTAATCATTAATTAATTTAATGAGCAAGAACCAACAATCAAAACTGCCAAGATTAATTAAGTTAATATTTAATGTGAATTAATAATAGTTGACACTTATTACATGAATATGTACTAGTCGGCCTAATAACTGAGCCATAAAACAATTTTAATTTAATAATTTTTAATGTTAGTTAATAAACTAACAGAAAATAATAAATGAATTACAAATTAATAATTAAAATTATAATTTCGGGATTTTTCGAATAAAACATTATATGTATTATTCGAAAAGTAATAAATTTATGCTAAAGCATTTTTTAGGTTTGTCACTGTTTATGATACCCAAATATAATTTAATCCGAGGTGTATTTTTTTAACGGAACACATTAAAATATGAACAGAACTGTATACAGTAGTCAAAACTGGTAAAATGAAATGATGACTCCATTACTCCATATCTGTGTTCCTAATGACGCAGACTAGAATGTTTGGAATATTTATTTATACTTATTTTTAATTATAAATTTTCTTACAATCCATATCTTTGGAAAACGTTTGATTAGATTTCCCTCTCCCAAACTAAAAACTATACGCAAATCGGAACATATGTGTTGGAAGAAATTTATATTTGCAATGGAAAGTGATTGATAAATGAACAAGTCAACTTTTATTCAACCAGAACTAGTTGGAATTTATTTCTGGAATTCCCGTGGATCTAATGTATTTTATGTGTCTTATACATTTATCATTTTTTACGTTCATTTTCTAAATATAATGGTCCGAAACCCTGACGTACCCTCTAGCAACGACCTTTTGTAAGAAAGCATCTTAAAATGCCAATTGCGTAAAACGTACAATATAACAATATAAATAATTAATTACAGATTTATAATTGAATCTAAAGAAATAGCTAAAATTTACCATTACTGACGCCGGGAGAACGCTTCTATACAAGGATGTATAAGTAAACAAATGTGTTGCACACGCAAGCCACATTACGAACATAATCAACCACAACAACACACAAGGGACCGTCATACCCTGGGTTATATCATCAGAGTAGTAGACACGGTATGTGTGGAGGTAACTTCATTAAAAGCTAAATTGACACAGTAACAGGAGGTTTTAGTGTTTATTTTGTAGTTCCAATTTACTTGTTATCCAACTTTACACAACCACCATTAACTTGTGAATACTTAAATAGACCATTCATACGGTACCAAAAATATGTTTCAAGACTTTAGAGTATGATTCCTCATACCAAAAGAAGGAAAAGCGTTCATATGAATGTATGTACAAAAATGATTATTTGCCTAGCTATCCTCAATTTTGGTTTTTATACAGCAATATAAATTTGTATTTTCTGAAATCTTTCAGCCGATCTTTATGAAACCTGGCATTTAAGGTTATAACTGGAGTAACCTATGTTAGGGAAAAGATAAGCTGGTCTAATATTAAATTTCAAAATGGTGATAATTTGAATTTGTATAACTTAAATTTTAAAAATGGCAAATTTTATGAAAGAAATTCCAAAAACACTATTTTAGCATATAAAACTCCCATATTAATGAGACTAAGATAAAAAATATCTAATGATAAATAACTGAATCTTCACGTTTTTTAGTTGTAAAATAAGACAAAGTGAGGTGCACCCTGACTAGATTAGCCTTATTTTACAACTAAAAACGTGAAGACTCAGTTATTTATCATTAGATATTTGTTGCAATAACTTTTCAGCCTTTACGTTTAATGATAAAAAGAACTTTGAAATTTCCCCTTTTGAATAAAGTAAAGTTTATGTGTACCCAATGTATACTTTTTGAGATACAGATTTATGAAGTTTGGTCTATATTTTTGAATAGCCTTGTATATAAAACAGACCCAAAAACTAAGTAAAATTGTGTTTATTTCGAAGTAAATGTACAAGATTTTTAAACACGAACTCAGCAGAAGAATTACAAAATAATGTAGAGGATCTCAAAGCAAGACATGTTTTACAACCTCAAATCCCTTGGGCCGAGATTATCTAGCAATGTACCAGGATTTGAGTTGGGATGACGACCACTGAGGGATGTGCTATGTTTTATCATCAGCTTCATGTTTTTCAATAAAAAATATCTTTAAACCAATTGAAAAAATGTATATGTTCTAGAAGTATTTAAAATTTATTTTTGTAGTCCAGGGATGTAAGAAATCCCGCCAAACATTCATAAAGGGCGTTTCAAAACTGTATGACTGTTTAAACCAGATTTGGTCAAAACTAAACTATGTACGTCATAGAAAACTCTAATTTCAGGCGAACTGAAATAGAGGTTTCCAAATGTATTTAAGTTTTTTGCCGGTTCAGATTCTTTTGTGTTCGCTGGGAATCCGAATTACTTTAGTCGATTAGACTTTATCTCTGTGTTCTCCACTCAATAGTGCAGGCTTTACGCTACCAAGCCGGGTTTTGTCTTTCCATTGCTTTAAATTACTATATGGCACTATTGTAAATCTTTCCATGTAGTTTCGTATCACACAAACATAAAACAGTTTTTTTAACATCACATTTTGTTTACATAAATCACAAACATGCTTCGTGTAGTTCATAACTATGTTTTGTCGTGCAAACAAGAGTATATGAACTCCAATATTTATCAAACAAAGTTTGAATAAGATGCTTATGCATTTTGGTTTTATTGATGGAAGCATTGAAGACCAATTAATTTGATAACAAAGTCACAATTTTACAAACGTATTTCGGACAGAGAGAAAGTGCTGTGTCATTTTATTCAAGTTCAAAATAAATAAAATGACTCCCCACAATCAATGGCAGTAGGTCTGCTTTTTCACTCAAAGGCTTTTACAGAGTAAATTGAAAACTTTTATGCCCGTCACGAGTCTCATAAGAGCAAAGCACCTAAGGAAGAGCTTTCTAACTGTTAAGGCTGTATAATTCCCTTTTCATCTGTTAGCTTTGCAAACTGTATATACATGTAAATTACATTTATCACTATCTGACTGGTAAATTTATCAAAGGTGTTAAAAGCAAAGATTGTTACCAACATTTTTAACTTCTATTTCAAATGCTATTAATGTTTGTTTAATTATAATTTTTATCATTTATAACATGTAGAGCTTCAATAGATTCTCCTTGTATATAGCAGTAGATTTTATTATTTATGAAATATGGCTGTGTAACGGGTTTATACAGTTTGTAATATCTGAGGACTAAACAACTTAAACAGACTGTGTTGTATCTTACCGCACTGAAGTGAGTACAGACTGACTGAGAGCGAGGGTTGAGCTGTGGCATCACATGTTGTCAGTGCAACCACCACACAAATAATTAAATCCCATACTCTTATATGAGCAATGTTTACTTTTGTATGTATGTATGCTTTCACAACGATCCCCAAAACGGCTTAGACGATTTCCTTCAATGTTGTAAATAATTCATTTCCGGCCTAAATAAGTGTTTAACGCAGTTAAAACTGACAACAAAAATCTAATTACGCAAACAATTAAATCGAAAGTCAAATCGTTTGAAAATTGACCTTATGGGTTGCCAAAATCATGTTGGTAAAAAAAATAACCCGGAAAAGTATGCACACAGGCAGAAATAGCCTGTTTGGATACAGTTAACAATTTCTACCACCTTTGATAAGCACAGGTAAAGCTACAGATCGATTATAATACTACAATTGAGGAAAATAATTTTAAAATGAATCTTTTAACTTATTAAGGGGAATTTGGTAAACATTGTTATGCTGTCATTCTAGCTATAACCTATTGCAAGTACTGTTACCTCAGTTTCGACAGTTTAATAACCTTATTACTTATTAATTGGCAAGTTTGGTATGTACTCTAGGGTATACCAGTGTAATTGTGTTAATCTGAAGTGTATTGTGCTTATATACAAAGCAGGTTTGCATCAATATTTCTTTTCCTTATTGTTATAAAGGGAAATATGAAACGTAGGTCTATAAACATACCAACAAACAGCTTAATGTATAATGTATAATAGCTAACGTTAGCATTACTTTCAATGACAGAAAGTGAAATGATT